AGAGTTTCTCACTATTCTTCTGGAAACCATAAAACTGATAAAAAATTTGTCACAGAAGAGAATGTATAATATATCATTGTTGCATTAAGCAAGAGATGTACATCAGATGTAAAATCTGAACAGCTATAAAGCTATCCAGATACTCAATGCTTCCACAATATACAACACACTTCATCAGTACACATCCAGTAACAACAACATTTGCAAATACATCATATTTACTGCACTTGGGGACTGTGATCCTTCATCTTTGCAATATCCCTCCATGCTGTCTCCCCAGGAGCTGCCAGCAGGTCAGCTAATCCATTCAGTGCCTCACTTGCAGTCTGAATCTGAATGATCTGCAAAGCAAAGCCTTTCAAATAGGAGCTTCAGGGTGGATGCACTGAACTCGATGGCAACTTTCATACATCTGGAACACCATCAGGAATACTGCCCTGGCTTCCAGAACTGCTACTGATCCTTTAAACACTATATGATCATTAATCTGACATTACACAGATCTTCTCTTTCCATATGAGTAGTTAAATTGTCTACAGCTCTTCTGAAGTTTGCAATGCAATTACCCTGCAGCAGTTGGCAGAACAAATATGTGCATATTGCTTCAATTTCTCCTGTCTGAAACACTCTGGAATAAGTGTGAATGAGTGAAGAACAGTACTCATTCCATCTTGCAAACAGACTGCTTTAGACAGATTTTTCTTCTGTTCCTGAAGCCTGGTCTCTGGCTTCTGGTCTCCTATCCTCTCTCAAGTAAAGCACTTTAATTAAAGGTGCCAGTTGTTCTCTAGAAGGTCTTCCCCACGTTCTATTTTTAAAAAACAAATACATATCCCAAAAGAAAACCTAAACTTCCCAATTTCAAACATCAGTGAAAACTGCCATCTCATAGCAGTTCTAAACTCCTGGTTAATGTCATCTGAGCCCTGCCAAACACCAGGCTTTGACACACAGTCCACTCTTAGATCTGAGAATATCAACACAGTTTAGCATTGTGATACCTACAGGCAGAGAGTGAGAGAAAACTCCTTTCAAACATATCTCACTCACATTCAAACAAATTTTTTTTCCACAAGTTTTCAATCATTTGGAAACTTCAGGAATCCAACTGTACTTTGTATGCTACACTAATCTTTAATTTACTACCCAAATGATATTCACTAGCAGATATGAAACTCCAGTTCAATCCACTCCTAAGCAGAGACAAGAGTCAAGGAGAAATAACCCTGGATATTTCATCTTTTAGACTTCTTCAGAACTTTTTAACAGCCAATTATATGCTACCCATCCAATCAATCAATGCAACAATTGCCAAATCCTCTTCCTCAGCAAGGTTTCAAGTGCATTGTTTTGACTAAAAAGATTGTGAAGATGTGTGAACTCTTTCCTTAAAGAGTTGCTATAGCAACTCGGTTTTTTTTCATATTACCATGGTTTGAAAAGTTTATATCCCCTGCAATTAAAATGATGTCTTGAAATAGCTGGCACACCAACTGTGTACATTATGAATTCTCTATTCACTATATTAAAATTGCAAGGGCCAGCAAAAAAACAAACAACCCTAAACAGCAATCTTTGAATGCAGGCAACAAACTATACTCAAGAAGTCAACGGTGATAGCTCAAGTGTACAAATAAGATATAACATAGAGCATTAGATATAATCACTGTTGTATATACTGGAATCTCTTGTTCTCAGACCGTCTTACTTGAATTCACTTGTTCTTCTAACATAAGTCTGTTTTCTTCTTTTTGTGTTCACCTTTATTCCTTTGTATAGATTACATTGTTTTTCAAATCCACAGCACATCCAGCCCCAATGTTACTTTAAAGCATATACACATAAACACTTCAGAACAGTGTAACCAAGGGGTTTGACGTATAAGAATTCAAACTTAAAAATGAATCTAGAAAGTGCAATCCAGAAAACAAAACACAGAAATGTAATCTGTCAGGAACAGCTTTGATGATGTTTGGGTAAACAGTACAAGCATGTTCCCATAATGAATTCCTCCCATGACTACCTTTACTTCTGCTCAATGATTTTCCCAAGTAGCAGCCAATCCTTAGCTTAATTGCATTGCTCTTCTCAACCAAGTTTACAAATGGTAAGCATTCAAGTGACCTTGGCAGAGGCAGTAACTACAGCAGCTCAAGAGGCCAAATACTGTAAACAAAAGAATTTTTTAAAAACTGAAAATAAAATTCCACACCAATTCTGAAGCTATTTTATCTTGACTTGGTATTTTTTCAAGCAATAAATTTAACAGGAAGAGATCCTTCAAACAGGCAACCAGGAAATGCAGAAGTATACAACACTACAGCTTGCTGGAGCAAATTATGCAACAGCAAGCTACAAAGGTTTTACACAGTTCAGCGAAACCGTGGGAGGCTTTGATGTGTACCCATCAAGGGCTTTAAATGAAAACTTGAGATGCAATCAGCTGTCAAGAACACACATGAGAACTCCTTGATTCATTTTGAGTTAAGTTGTTGTAGGATTGTTTTTAAGGATGGAGTGATATTTATACTCTGTTTTAGCTGCCTCACTAGTAAGTGCAAAATCTGACAATTGATGTCAAATATTTTGTCATGTACTCCAATGCTAACTTCTTTCCATAAAGCATTTATTAACATAACTATGTTGAAACATTATCATCATATTGAGAAATAGTATGCAATTTTGTCTGCTTACTTATTGTGTATTTGAATATATGATGATCTAAATAAAAACAGTATTTGTAATGTCTTATAGAGAACATGAGCTCATAAGAGGGAATATCCCACAAGAAATAAGAAGAAGGTATTTGGGAAAATACAGCCAAGGTCACAAGTGGCTATAAGAGAGCAGGTAGATGTTATTTAGTCATTAACACTTCCAACTTCAGTGCTAAGGAGCACATGATAAAGACAGCTTTGTAGCCAGGTTTAAAATTAACATCAGGACACAACTACTCATATAAAGGGCAGCTAACCTGCACAACTCTGCCACAGAACACTGTGGATGCCAGAAATTTACATGTAAGCTTGGGAATAAAAAAATCACTGATGATTCCTAAACAAAAAGAAACTCAGAAAGGCTCTGAAGTACAAGTATCAGAACTCCATGAAAACAGCAACATACAATAGTTCTGCTTTCAGGACCTCTCCTGAGTAAATTTTTTTCTGACAGGTGGAGTTTAGATCTATCTCAGTAGGGCTGTCCATACAGCCTCACATTCCCCAAATTCTAATCACAGCATGCAAGAAGGCATGTTCTGACAATAACCAGAGGCTTTAGAACAGATCTTGGCTTTGCATATCACTCAACCATACAGAGGGAACAAGACATATTTGATTATAATTTCTAAGATCTACAATAAAATGGCTTTTTAACCCAATTTGATATAAAAGTTAAAGATAACAGCAATGCCAAACTATTAGAGTAATACAAAACCAGAAAGATGCCAACTGAAGGCCCATTATTCCAAGTTTGCTGGGAGTTATGCTGCAATTTAGGCATGCAACAAGAGTAAGACAACAATTTACAAAATAGGCTTTATATTTTCTTGCCTCACAGGAATGACACGAGGAATGACTGCATATACAGGTCAGTTCTCAAAGAGTTAACATCACACATTATCTCTTCAACACTTACTTCAGCCAGCATTTTTTCCACAAGCTTTTAAGAATAAGGAATTTTTTCAATTACAAAATTGCAATTATTTTTTTCTTCTTAAAAGGATTTTTTTTTTTTAAATTAACGGTTTATATTCTCCACGTTTAACAATATTTTTGTTGCATGTACTAAGAACTGCTGTTATCAAGGGCAGGTTTGAGTGACCTAGGTGAACAAGACCATCAAACTCAGTTTCGTTTATTAAAGATTTCTTGGTTCCATTTGTTTAAGTGCATATTCTAACAGCCATAGCATTGACAACAGCGAAGAACTGACGCTACAAAAAGTCTGCCTTTAAACTAAACAGCAATTAAGGCTACTATGTAAGTACTGCCGAAATTTTACCGGCAAAAATAAACTAGTGCGGATTTTTTTTTTCTTTTTTTTTAATTAAGATGACTATTATCTAACTCTCAGCTGGTGACCTTTTAGAAGCGTAAGGTTTACAAATCTGGCTTCTGAGCGGAGCGTTCGGAGAGTAATCATAAGTAAGCCATTCACTGCTTTTCGACTGCTTTTGCTCCGTCAGGCAGGCAGTACAAACAAGTTACAATGCTCTGCTAAAGCCTCTGCTCCAGAAACGCTTTACAGGGCTTTTACCGTCCCCACACCAGCATTACTGAAAATTATTACATTAAAGTAGCAGCAACGTCAGGAGAACTTCAGCTACTGGAAGATGTAGTTTTGTTTGGGCTTTGCTAATTGCCTGGAAGACTTCGACTAGAAGAGAGGCAGCGAGATGAAAGTTTCCTCCTTCGCACGGGCTGAACCCGACTCGCTCTGCGAAGGTTCCGAGCTAGCGGCCTTCGCTTACAAAACAACCCAAAGAAACTGAAAGGAAAAAAAAAAAAAAAAAAACCCAAAAAAAACCAGCGCTCACTCTTCTCTGCGGTCTTCAACCCACCAATGAACACTCCGAAGGTTCAGCCCACCTGTTCTTAACTTTTAAACGTGGCTCCGGCCGGGCAAGTCAGTAGCCGCAGCCAGTGCAGCCCCTCAGTGCTGAGGCTGCTTCCGCCTGCCCCGGGCTCTGCCCCTCGCACCAACAGGTACCAACCAACACCCCCAGCCCCGGCAGGGCTGCGCCGCCGCCCGAGCAGGAAGAGCCCCGAGGAACCCGGACACCTCACCGGGGTAGCGCTGCCCTCCGTCGCTCTCGTCACGCTGGGCCATGCCCGACCCGCCCCACAGCCGCTGCTGCGGGACTAGGAGGCGGCCGGCGGCTGCGGCGAGCGGTCCATGTCGCTGCTCTCCGGTCCCCGCGGAGCAGCACCGGCTTCAGCACGGCTGAGACGGAGCAGTCGNCCGGCCCTGGCCGTCCCGGGGGGAGCAGGTGGGTGGGCGGGCTGCACTCGTGTTGCTGCCTGCATTTAGGATCAAAACAAAGTTCAGTGGGTTTACAAGTGTGGGCTACGGAACGTGTGGAGGCATCATGCGCAGGTGTGTCCTTAGCTCTGTGGATCTTTGGTGTTACATTTTGTAATGCCAAAAGTGGGGAGGCTCTATGGTGGTAATGGCTATTTTTGTATGTTTATCTTTCCGTTCTCTTCACCTTCCGTCTCCAAGTGCGCCCTTTCGCCGTTCACATGGTGAAGCTGTGCACACCCTGCTCTACCCCCACACTGAAATTCTGAGCAGTCAGCACTTGACAGGAGCAGAGCTGTCGTTTCCTTATCATCTGTGAAACTCGGCACTCTTTTGTTTTTTCTGCAAAGGTCCTGCGTTTCGCACCTAGAGTCAGCGATCATGTCTCTATTTCGGTGGTAAGATAAAGCTGTCCCCCATCTGAACCGAGGAAATAAGCACTCGTCACCTCACACCTCTCATATCTACGCTGAAGGTGGAAATGTGAGGGCAGCAAACACAGAAATATTGAACTTGTGGTGGTGTCACTGGTTGGCTATCAAGCAGTACAAACCCATGATTATTCAAGCTTTGCTATGGGCAAGTTTCTCTTGAATGAACTGTGAGAGGCTGAGGTAAACCTGTACAGGAGTACTTGCCACCATGACTGTTGACACCAGTTCCATAGTAGAAAGATAAGAACTAGATCATTATGAAACTGCTGTGAAAATCTACCATCAATCAAAAATTGTACCTCTGCAAATTGTTTCTGTGACTGGATCAGTCCTTAATCTGCTGTATTCCTAAAATGGGTATCAACATAAAATGATTTAAGATTGGCACCAATTTCTCCATATCTTCTTTTATATGTTTTAGAGAGTGGGAATCGATTCTTCTGTTGGAGCAATCAAATGAGAGTATTGTCATCATGATGTGTCATGGTACCTAGGTCAGTTGTTTGGTTCCCAGGGTAAATAACAGAATGGAAACAGTAAGGAATTCTCTAATTTTGTGGAGTGTCCACACGGAAAATAATCCTACTCCCAGCTTAATATAATTTAGGCTGAAGAAGGGAAACTTAGAAAAACCTGCTGCAGAAAATCCTTCAGTGGTAGCCTAGCATATGGAAAGTCTCAGAAAATTGCAGCCTTCTCAATATTAAAAAAACACCCCTCTATTGCACATGAATGGTTGTATAACTCATGGAAAGGGGAAGAGCTATTACCAAAAGGTGTTTTGCACTAACACTTTGTGTCAGTCATTCATGCCCTCACCATCCCAGATAAGGTAAATTTCTGTCTGCAAACGTTGCGTATTACTATTCCTCTGTATGGAGAAAAGCTGAAGGGCTCACATTGTGACTAAATAGTGTCACACCACTAACTGTGCTCAAGTGTGGCATGTGCTAATTACTAAAAGGAAACAGAACAGGTACTGCCAGGTACAGGAAGTATAAAAGCATATAAAGTGCAGAGGGGACCTTTAGCACCTTTCTTTTGCAGCAGCTCTGCAAAATTTAAAGTCCAAACACGTGGGTTGTAAGTAAATCCTCGGAAGCGTGATAAGAAGTTAATTGTGGCACTTAAATCAACATAGTTATTATCAGTGCTCTGCCACTGATTCAGGGTCAGGTAAACATGTAGAACACTTAATTTTATAAAAATTATTGGGATAAAATCATGTTTTGTTTAAGAGTGTCTTGCCTACAGCTGTTGTGTAGAAATGAAATGTCACATAGAGCAGCCTCAAACTGGCAATTGATGTTCACCTAGTGGGCAAAAAAACTTCTACATGTCTAATAATAGACTGGTGCTAGAGTTTTTAATTTTTTTTAAACACTCTGTTTAAAAACTCTGTTATACAGACTTACATTCATGCCAGCAGAGTTCAATATCCCAATTTTATGGTTATTTTGCAAGAAAGCATGAAGAGTTTGTACGCTGTTCTGTCTCAGTGATTTTTCCAAAATATACTACGCATGATAAAAGTACACCAAATACCAGTTTCATTAGAGCCAAGGAACAAATGCAAGTTTCTGTCATACTTCTTATGCCTGTAAATATGAGAAAGCAGTCTTTGATTAGGCTTTCAGTTCTGTTTTGAAGCTTCAGCAATTTTGTAATTGATACAACTTCAAATTTATTTTTTTAAGAGCTAGATGAGAACATCTAGATAGAATTTTCATTCATCACAAGCCAAGTGTGATGCAAGCAGCTTTCAGAGCCAGCCAAACTGAGCTTCATTTGAATCTGCTATGCGGCTCTTGAAAGTCAGTAATTCTCTGTCATAAGCTAGAGGACAATTTTTATTTTTTTTTCTGTAGTTAACCAAAGGTTAGCATGTTGTGAAGGTACAACAGCTGTGCCTCACTGAATGTGAGCTGACCAACAGCTCCTGCCTGCACTTGCTATCACTGATTTAAGGCAGTTCTAGCTCACCCAAGCCAGAGTGCAAGGTACCAAGTGTGGCAGTGCTGCATACTCTTGAGTTATCCATCAGAACATGAGACAGAGTAGCTCTAAAGCAAATGTTAGCACAGACAGGAGACATTGCTCCTTTTCCTCCTTGCTTTACAGAATTACCTGTAGGCACAGTGAAAAAACTCGTGCATGTTATATGGCACAAGAAAAGGGAACAATGAATAAATACAGGTTTCTACTGACTCGTTGCAATGACAAGGGTAATAATTCTGTAAAGAATTCAATACCTTGGAAGCAAATGGTGATGCTTTTAAGAAATTAATATTATGCTCTTCTACTTCAGATTCATAAGAAATTAATTTTGTTCACACAAAACTATTTTTGCCTGTCTGTATTTGATAGCAGTCCATTTTCAGAATGGCCACCATGTACATGGGCATTTCCATAGAGGTGGATTATGTGTACACCAGACCATTTTAACAGGGTTGGGATGAACCAATAACAGCTGGAGAACATGTCATTATCCCAAAAGGCTGCCTCTTCCTATAGGAACTTAGACCTAATAAAGGGTGAGGAAGCTTGGTCTGTAGCTACCATCACTGTTAATCCTTCTGTTATCACTGGGTAAGAATAGACTAAGATGGTTCCCCTCCACAAGACAGCAAGAAAATGAAGAGCAGGAAAGGCAGGGGAAGAGCATGTGGGACTTTGCAGCATGTTTGAACTGATATTACTGAAACACAATGCGTGACAGGATTGTTTCTATCGCTGTCTACAAGCTCTTTAGGAAAGGCAACATGAATAATAAAGTGTGAAGGAGTAAAACTATATAACCTAAAAATATTACTCCTTGTATAATATCTCAGAATTGCAGAATCCTGAGTGCCCATAAGTAATTGCTAACAAAGCCTCCATGGTACCTCTGTTGCAGATCTTCACTCGTTACTAAATTACGCCAGAGAAGGAAACGGTTTTTATGCACAGCTGCATAATGAAAAGCTGGAGTTCTGTAACAGATTTATTCTCTTAAGTAAGCACAATTTAAATTACATTTCCAAAACAGATCTATGCTGTAGCAGTTGCCAACATGGCAACATCTATTGGAACTCCCTACGAAAAAAAGTAGTACTGGACTAAAAAACAGTTGTTGTCTAGATCTTGTAAGGATGAATGAAAGTAAGTAACATTCAGTTTGGGCAGGTAACAGATCCTATTATTATGTGGCCATGGATCTGCAGTGCTTCAAATAATTTAATATTTTTGTACTGAATACAATTACAGGAAAAATGGTGGAAAAATATTTAAAACCTATGAATGACAACTTAGCCTTCCTGAAGAAGACTCTGTTGTCAAATAGATGAGGGTTCCAGAGTCAAATGATGACTAGAACTCCATTGCAAAGTGAGAACAATACGAAGCCAAATATCAATAAAAAAATTAGAAGTTATGAAATATAAGAAAAAATGGAAAAAGGCAAAATCCTATTAAAAGGGTATTGGAAACATAAGGGATGTTCCTAATATTCATTATTGCACAAATAAAGTAACTGCAGAAATGAAAAATTCAACACCAGTTTCTGTCCCATATCCGTAAGGGCTCAGGCTGGCCCATCAAAGCAGGTAGAGATTAATGAGGCAAATTATTTTTTGGACAATAGGCCTAAACAACACACAAGCTGTACTTTTTTTCAAACATAAGTTGGGGATAAGTAAAGGAAAAAGCTACACAATTTTGTGTGGGTCATTACATAGTTTCTGACACATTTGTCTAATTTGTTCCTAGAAATCTCCAGCAGTGGAAATGGCATCTCCTTTTGTAGGTGGTGCTTACATATTTGCTTTAAGTACTGCTACTGTACCTCTACTGTTCTTTGCCTGAGCATTTCCATGGCTATGAACAGGAAAGCAGAGATAAATCTGAAAATTCAGTATTTTTACCAGGTGTGATTGCTCAGAATGATTTTAGAATTAAAGATTTGAGGGCTCTGTTTTGAGACAAGGAGAGTTGCTGCTTCTCCTGTGTCTCTGCTTGTAGTGAGTAAAATAAGGCCTGTGCAGAAATGCTTTGCAGTTAACTCTTCATTAGCAAATCCCAAAATCTTTATGTGACAAGCAGTTAAATGGCTGTTAGCTGTTAACAGAAGGGAGCCTGCATCACTACTGAGGGACACAGAGACTTAGTGTTGCTTTTGCAACCCCTCCTTCTTGGAGAAGCTGCAAATACAGTAATGACAGACACGGTCCTTCCAGACTCATTTGCCTTGCAGGAAGGCTGTCAGGCAGAAGGCAGCGTCAGTGGCAGCCTCTGTCCTCACTGTTTATAGGTGAAGTTGTTACACCCAGGTGAAGTAGGGCAGGGACACCAGTGTTTTGTCACTCAGTGACTTTTTCTCAGCAGCGTGTTGGCCCACTGCCAGCTCTGTCAGCTGTTTTTTTCCTGTTCATCCCATTATCATCCCATTGGAGCAGAGGTGGACCATAAAATTTATAAGCATTTGCATGTAATACTACATTTTGAGAGGAACTTGAACAATGGAACAGAAGTCTTAGAGTAGGAAGCTAAAATGTATCAGTAAAGACTCCTTTGTCCCAAACCTCTGGAGTCTTTTTGCTATTAGTTTCACAGATAATGACAGAAAATTATGTGAGATGTTATACGTGAAAGGTAATGACTAATTCATTGGGGATAATACTTAACTATGCTGGTCCTGGCAGGGAAAGAATGAGTTATTGTGAAGGAATCCTGGCTTTCCAGAAGGTTCACTGCCTTGCCTTCCCATGTATTTTCACATGAGACACTCTAATGAAGGCAGTGGGACATGCATTTACAGCCAGCACTTACTGCCCAAGACTGTACAGTGGTAGTTTTTGCATGAAAGCAACATTGTTTAACTGGAAACAAATTCTTTACAGTATGTGTATTTAATATTAATTCAGATACAGGAATTGAAAAGCCTGATGAAATGTAGTTCTTCTATCAAGTTATCTTCTATAAATGCAATGAAAATATACTACTTCTGCTGTATTTAAGAAATAATTGAAAATAATGTATGCCTTTAAAAGTTTCAACTACCAAGTTTGAACAAAAGCTCTTCCATTATTTCCAAGTGTGTGTTTCTGTGTTGTTTCCATTGAACTTCTAATTCAGCAGAGGTTGGAATCATTCTGTAGCGAATCCCGGGTCACTTTGGTTGCAAACTTAGAGCAACAAAATGCAGAAAGCTCCACCAAGTAGAATGTGAGCTGTTGGGGCTTTTTTTCCTTCCTCTGAAAGGAGGTGTGGCCATGGAATTAGGAAAGTGGACTTTGTTGTTATAGATGTAGTTTTCTGTAAGTAGAAGTGAGATACTGGTTACTTGATGGCTGAACACAAATTGAAAGCAGAAATAGGAATCTGCTGGGTTAGTCCCATATTACATACAAGTTCTGTAACTGTTATGTGAGAGAGGGTCTGGGTATGCTTGGGTTTGGTTTTTTTTTTTTTCTTTTAAAAAGGTCTCATGTCTTCTAAACATGAATTTGTCATTATAAATTAATTTTTGCAGAAATAAAGTGTAGAAAAAGTTCATTTTGTCTTCTTTTTTTGAAGAACATATGCAATGTATTTCCTTTTCCTCCATCCTAAAAAGTTAAAAAAATTACAGCAATGAAAAGAACTCCCAAATTAAGTATGTCATGCTATTTCTCTATAGTATTTAATGTTTAACTGCATGGTGTATCTAAGTTACACACGTTAGCCCAAGAAAATGAAGACACACACACACCATCCAATTGTCCTTTTATATTTTTATTCGGTGTTAAGTAACTCCACAAGAAAACAAAATCAGTTACTCTGGTGTACGTGAAATCAGAACAATACAACCACTTGAAGCAAAAAGTAGAAACAAATTTCAGCCCAGGAATGGAAAACTGATACTTCAATGCTATGGATATGCAATGCGCTTCATCCCACAGTGCGGTTCAGCGTATGCCAACCTTTGATGCTCTTGTTGTTGTTGTTGATGTGTGTTTCTATCCATATAGAAAAACTAAAAGCCACACTTCAACTCTCACTGAAAGCCTTAGAGCTTTAGCCATTAAACTATGAAAACAAGTAAAGACAATTTGTTATTGCCCAAGCTCAATATAAGATTTTATTTTCTCCAAAGGTGCTGGAATCATTACATGCCACAGTGTAACTATGAGCAACACCTTTGTTACTTTTGAGCCCTTTCTTACCAATGAAGAAGCTCTAGCCAGAATTAACTGAGCTGAAGTTTGTGTTTGAAATATGTCCACTTGGTCATTTCCTGTTCTCAAATGAAGTTCTATTCCATTCTTCACTGTAGTGATTTGAAGAACTTGTGAGTAAAGTTCTTTTTCCTTTCATGTTACAGTTAACTAGTTTCAGTGCAGGTGCTAAACAACCTCTCAAGGAAGCTCCAGAAGAAAGTAAAATATTTAAAAATCTATTCAAAGTCTGCAAATAAATTAAGAAAAGAAACTGTAAAGTGTCAAAAGATTTGCTGTATGAATACAAACCCTAAAACATAGTCTAAAAGGAGGGCCAAAAGAAAGTCCTTGGATAAGGGCAACCAAGCCAGTTTTAGTAAGGATCTCACCAAAAGCGTTGTACGAAGACCGGCATAGTTTCCCAACCATGTATTTAAATTCTTACACTGTCAATTGAATAAAGGCAACAAAACCCAGTTACTCAGAAAGCATTTCTAGCACAGAACATATTTCAAAGGCAGTTCAGCTCACATTTCAAACAGCTATGTTTCTTGTGAGGTTTATTGCCTGTAAAAAATAATGGTGAAGCTTTTCGCAGAAGGAGTTGATAGTCTTGTACAGATGCAACTTGACAATGTATTGACTTTCTAAGTTAACAAAAGAAAATTTAAAAGCAAGTCACATAAAGCAACAATCACTACTGCAATCACACATGTATGTTGTAAGTCATCACCTTCCCTACCCCCACCCACCACACACATAACTTGCCCCACACATTCTCTCAGAAACACAAAATGAACTACGAGATTTACTAAATTACAGCCACAACAGCAGCTAACTGCAGCAGCCACAGGATTTCTTTCAAGTGAAGCACTGACCCTTTGCATTTTAAACATTGAACACTCTGAGCATTTTAGAGAGTTTCAGTCATTCAGGCTCAAGTTCAGTTACAGGATGCTTTTGCAGGTTACATGAATGCCTTCATCTGCAACAAGACAACATTCTCATTACTCATTAACAAAATTCACAACAATCCACACATCACCCCAGTGGTTTATTATTTTTGGTGTTTCTTTTTGAACTTCTGCCCCACATCGGCAAATTGCTAAAAAGGACAAAAAAAAAGAAAAAAAATGAAAAAAACCCCACGTTGCCTCCATACCTACAAAAAATCCTTGGCTTCTCCAGTTAGCAAAAATACAAACCATTGTATCCTCAGTGTTGGTTTGTGGGAGGGGGGAATCATAGGATAGAAAACACAGTTTCTGTAAGTCTCTAAAGCACAACCCTGTTGTTCCTACTTCAAAGTTATGAGATTTACTGAATGAAGACTGGACAAGTCATTCATGCTTTTCTCCTGCATTCAGAAAGGCACTGATAGATTACAGTGTTAAGTATTTATCTCCCAGTTCTTAAAGAACAAAGCCTAATGTGCAGAAAGCTGAAGTCTCTGAATAGCAGAAGTAGTTGTAGACACTGCGATGCTAAGAAGATCGTAATAGTGGTAGGGCTACAGTTACGAAAGAAAATAACTGCAATTAAGATGCAAAAAAGCAGTGGTACTACTAAGACAAGCACATGCACATCCATTCTTGATTTGACAACACAATCTAGTCTAGTTCAAATAGCCAAGAATTTAACAGTATTTTTTGGGAAAAAAAAATCTTCAACAGGACAGCTGTGTCCTCATCTATAAAATAAGCAAGAAGAGAAAGATAAATACACATCTGAATCCATTAACTGAAGAGGAAACTCAAGTTGTTGTTTTAGAGCTACAGACCCTCAAGAAAGATAGTTTTCCATCTCATGTTACTTTTCAATCATCTTTTCTACTCTGCAGTTTTTACAGTTGAGTTCGAGAAAAAAGCTCCTCCTCACACGGATCAGCCCATCCGCTTCCACCTTCTGAAGCTGTGTCTTCAGAGCTGGAGCTATCACTGGAGTAGATCTTCTTCCTGAAGCCATTTGGTTTTGCCTCAGCATTTATATCATCTGCACATCTTGCTTCATAAACAGAAGAAACCTAAGGATTTAAACTGACAGTGTTGATGGGGAACAATAAAGAACACGCTTGCTTTTCTCTGGGCTGGGAGGTTATATGGTTTTGTAGCTGTCCAAGAGAGATGCCACGATTACAGGGCAAGTCCTCCCCTTTCCTGACTTAGTCTAATATGTAGAAAGGACTGCAGAACAACAGGGAAAAAAAGGTGGGGCTTTTATCATTTTTTCCTATTCCTTAATTTTAGGATTTGCACAAAACAGCAAGAGAATCAAAAGTAAACTCAGGATGTATCTTTATCACAGTTCATGTTAGAAAAATTACTGTAAAAGTTATCTCCAAAACTTCGTAGTAAGTATTAAATAGTAAGAAAACACAGCACAGATCTGACTAAACTTCAAGCAATTGTATTTTAAATATATTTTCATCTGAATGAGTAAAGCTATAGCAAGCGTGTCACAATGTAAACTAAGTACTATCATCACTATGAAGTTTAAAAGTATATCAGTAAATACATGTGCACATGAAATTTTTTCCCTAGAGAAAAAAAATCAGGGTTTTTTGCTTGTAATAAGGACAGTATTCAGCATATATTATCTTTATGCCTTTAATTACTGGTCCTTTCTGCCCTCATAGTGCACTTCAGCTCACTCTACACTTACTGAAATTAGAAGTTGAAGGAAAAGAAGACTCATGTTTAACACTCATGACAAGCAAATGGCAAGCGTTCCCAAAGGAAACTGGCTTTGCTTATCTACTAGAAGTACAGCTGTTTGTACAAAGGGTTGTACTCCCCAAAGTACAACACCCTGAGAAACTTTCAGAAGGATGTTCAAGATGAAGAGGAGGTTAAAAAATCAAAGTAAGAGAAGAGAAGCTTTTGAAGGTTTTTGCAGAAATTTGAGGGTAAACTAAGAACTGTGATGAAAGGAAAGATGGAGTAGCCCACCCTTATAAAATAAGTAAAAAACTTCCTCCCCAAAACCATTGACAAACTTACCATATTAAAATCTAAAAGATGTTCATCATCATTGGATACTTCCTTTACATCTGCAAGTTCTCCTACACCATTCTCTCCCTTGGCATTTGTATAGCACTCTTATATTGTTTTTGTGGGGGTGTTTCAGATGCAAAGGAAGAAAAAACAGAATTGAGGAACACTGTTATTTACATTTACCATAAATTAAAGCATCCAGAGAAGTATTCTTGGAATTCACACTCTATGCCATGTAAACTCTGTGCTTGTGGGGGTTTTTATGGTCTGACACCCATAATGAAGTCAGCATAATACCTCACTGAAGCTTCATCAAATCCTACCTGGATAACTAATAGTAAAAGAAGAAGCTACTTAGTTAATGAAAACACCTAAAATACCAAAGAACAAGAATTTCTTTTGTAATGATGAATGGGTCGGTACATTTTTCAATTCTGATATTGCATTGTGTTCCACATCACTCCTATTTCTATACCCACACAGTATATGCTGAAACAGTAGCCTGATCCTCACTGAAACTCAAAAACCCCATTTGACATGAATGGCTGTGATTTCTACTTACCAGAGTAAACTTATATATGTAATATCAACATCCGTCACGTCGATAGATACATATGGATCACATGCATCAACACCCACATATAAAAAGTACCCATACTGAAAACCGGATACAGATAAAGGTTTGTGGAAGAGTACCATCAGCTGTGAGGATAAAGTCCCGGTCTCGTTTAGAAGCGGAGCCGCACAGAGCGAAGGCTGGCTCTGCTGTCCCTGACAGACGCCGCGCTCGCCCCGCCAGGGGAGCGCTGCCGCAGTGACGCGCGCTCGCCGCCAGGGGGCAGCCGCGGCCCCGCGGGGCCCAAAGGCCCGCTCCGGGAACACGGACGGCTTTTGCCAACGGGGCGGGCTCCGAGCGCACAGCTGCTCCTGCACGGGGGGACTGCAGAAACTGGTAACGTGTTCTTGAAGGTCACCCAAACTGTCCTAAACACCAAAGTAAGACCGTTTTGGAACCAAGACCACGGTTCAGTTGGTTGCACTTAAAGTTGTGCTTCAAAAATAGCAACTGGCTAATCTACTTTCCGATTATTAAGGAACCAGGTCTCTGATCAAAACTTTCTCACCCTGAGCTTGTGCCAACAGAAAGCACCGGAGATCCTGTCAATTCAGGATGCAGAGTGATCTTGTTTAGCTTCGTGCCATCTCCCCAGAAAAGGTGAATTAGTATGTAGGCAAAAAAAGCTGCCTGGATTCTTGCCGGTCCACTGAAAACCTGAGCCTCAGCTGTCAGATGCTACAGATTCCTGGGAGTGCTGGAAGCACACCTGCTTCTGGTCACGAGCAGCCTGCCTACAAAGGCCGGACTTGCTCTCTGTGCAGAAAAATTCACAGACTGTCAGTGTGAAAGGAGTGGCCATGTGGCAAATCCCTCTCCTTCCCAGTCTCAGAGAGATTCCACACATTCACTGAATAACTGGCATATTATTTACTCACACCCATAAAATGTAACCATCGTGTTTTCACGTTCTTACAGACTTACCTACCTAATAAGTATTTTTCAGGACAAAACATTAAAGAATGTAATGAAGTATTTTCATAATCAGAGATTTTCTGTTTGTTTAATTGCAGGCTTTGGAATTAAGTAGATTTGTGTAAATGTCAAGATCATTTTAAAGCCACTTTCTTTTCAAACCAATTTAGAATAATGCTAGAGGTCTACTACAGTAGATGCAACTGAAGCATCCCAGTTCTCTCTCAGAGAGATTTTTGTGGAAGCTTACTGGTGTGGGATTTTTGAATATAGACAGTAAATCCAATTCATATGCAGCAATTCCAATCTGTAACAAGGAGCATTTCATTCTTACATGGGTGCAACAGCAAGTTAGTTCTAACAGGCAGAGGTGCTTACCTTCACACTGTGACGCAGGAAAAAGGGGAGAATAGAGCGCCTTTTCCCACCAGCATTGCTTTTCCTGGCTGCCACTCATTCTCTGCAGATTAGTATTCAATATAGGAAAGTGTTTAGACAATAATCACACTTCATTATGCCATAAATAATATACTTACATGTAAAGGAGGAAATTCTGGTATTACAATGAATTTTCCTAAGTCTTACAGGTCACATTTCTCAATTTGTAACACTAATGGGAAATGACTGTCAAACTACAGTGGAACATTCATTCTCTGAACTCTTACAGCCAATATGAACTCTGTGCTGGGGCTCAGACTTTGCCCATAGAGAGTTATACAGATCCAGAAAAAAAAAATTAATTCCAGCCCTACATTTTATAATCTAGAGAGAGCTACTGAAAAGATGGAAGTACAGTGAAATGTTAGCCAACATGACAAACAGTTCAGTGTAAAACAAAACAGAGAAGACAGCAAAGAAAAAGCAGGAAAATTTCATGCTTGAAGTCTGGGAGGATGAATTAGCAGTACCATTACCCAACAGAAAAACAGAAAATTAGAGAATTATGTGTTAACATGAAGAAAAAGAGGTTATGAGGATGATCAGTAATTTGTCTTTATGCTAGAAGTAATCCATTCACAAAGACTGCCAAAATACTCTCCCCTATTTTCATGCTAGCTTAACTCTATCAGAGGCCTTTCCTTATGACATTGATGGACATGGCTAAAATAGCAAGAGCTTGTCACAATAGACATGTCTCCAATTTCATGGCTGCACCTGAGGTAACCCCATTAGCCTTCAAAAGATTATGCCACTTTGTAACATCCTCTATAGATGTTAGAATGATCCACAAAACAAACGACAGTGCAACTACCTACAACAAACATTAACAAATGAGCTTCAACACTGACTTTCTAGCCAGCTTTTTCCTCAGTGAACTTGAAAATGTTTAAACATGGAAGATTAATGAGCATCCTTTTGTTCCTCCTTAACCTGCTCAAAAACTACACATCCATAGAACTTAAACTTACAAACACTTTTCCTTAATAAAGAGAAGCCCCTTAAACCAAAGGAGTGACTCAAGAGAGCTGTATTTAGAAACATGTCCTAGATTCAACTTATTTGAACTTATCCATGCTGGTTTCCTGTCATAAGAGCCAGGAACAGTCTTTCTGGAACCCCTCTCCAAAAATTCAAACCCTTAATTCCAGAAAAGGGAGTTCTTAGGAACTTACTGGTTGGTCTTTTTTTAATATTAAAAAAAAAAAGAAAAAGAAAAAAAAAAAGGGTATAAGCAGGACATAATAAGAAATATGTGCACTTACAAATACATTCAATCATGGAAGCTTCACTCTGTGCTGATTATACATAGAGCATCTAAATTTCACGGGCACAATGTGTTATTAATTTCAAAGTCTCTCCTGCTGTCACACCTGTACACAGGATCAGCTGGATGAACCCCAGCAGGTACAGGCAAAGCCAGCTTGAGTCTGGCAGGGCACAAGAAGCCAGGGCTGCTTCCCGGGCTGAGGCACTGGCAGAGCTCAGCACCTGTTCTGAGATGGCTCCGTGACTGAACTGGCACTGGCTGCTTCAGCCCCCTGTGCTTCCATCACAACCCCAGCACCTGCAGAGCTGGAGAAGGTCAGACTGCTCACAACTCAGTGTTGTTTGAGAGGGGATAGAGGACACTTTTAAAAAAATGTCTATTTTATACATTTACAGAAGAAAATTTTTTTCCAATGCTGTTGCTTTAGTGTTTCCTAGAAATGCACAGTTTCACACTGTGAATATTTTTGTTTTCACATTAAACTAAAGAGACACTCCCAATCAGTAGATACAAAATACCAACTCCAGAATAGCATCATGAGTCTACCTTCCTTTGTTGACAATATCTCTTTTAAAACAGGAATTTATGTCTCCTCCTCCTCTCTCACACATACTCATATATGCTTCCAGTGTTTTATGGAAAGTTTTATTGAATTTTCCAGCTAATCATTTAAATAGCTATTATATAGAATGGTTCTGATATTAAATATTGTAACTGGAAGTCTCTCCTCTCTGAAACTATTCATATTTATTTCAATTTGTTCTTAAGCTGAACTCACAGACAGCAGGGCAAATCCAACTGCAATGCTGTTTCACTCCCAGTTTTGCTGCAGGAGAAAAGACTGATGGGTTTCCTCTCTGGTTTCACAGCTAGGCATAGGGTAACTGAGGCTTCTCCCAGCTATTAGATACTAACTTGGAAACACCATCACTGACTAGTTGTACTGCTTCAGAATGCTTGCTGACAAGGACCATGGCTGACAAGGGTGACATTAGGCATGCAGAATGTGAACAGAATAAGCAAGAAAACTTCAGTATTGTCTGAATAAATATTATCAGAAGTGTTACAACTGAGAAAAAATCATATTACGCTGTAAGCACATACTTCTTTGAACCTGCTCTGTAACCCCTTACTACCAGGAAGAATACAACACACAAATAATTCAGAAGTCAAAGGAGCAATGAACTCATTGAGTCCCATTCCAAAAGATCACGCCCTAATTTTAGTTCATCAGCCACCCAATGAAGATACACTTGGCTCAAGAAGCCAGTCACAAATGAACAAAGGGAGCTGAGTCTAGACTTTACATTCTTAAAACCTATTGGCAGTTACTTCATTGTATTTCACTAAAAATGTATGTGCAAGGGACTCTATGAGATAATCTAGCCTCTACACTTACACAAAGATGGAATCAATGCACTATTCCAACGTTCAGTCTCAGCAAGGCAGAATTTCAACTGCTTCCCTAAAAAATAATTGAGCCTTACAGTATGCCCCTTGTCCGGTTACAATTCTTATTCTTCAATTTCCCTTAGTGTGATTTAAGGTCATCACATCCAGATTCTTTGTGCTTACTGGAGCCTACACAGCTCCAGTTGTGTTCCAGAGAACACAGCTTTTCCCTTATCTCCTCTAACTATAAACCTGGCTTCTACAAAACTGCTGCCTCTGCTCTAAGTCTCTCTTACTTGAGAAAAAATACCCCCAGTTCCTTCACTCTGTTTTCATAACTAGTGACCTTTGTGTTTTCTCCTCAAGACATCTTTCCTGATACAAGGAACCCGGTACTCCACTCTTACAGGTGAGTATTCCTGTTCATGGATCTCAAAGTTGTTGTCTTTTGCAGTATATCATTCCTGATTTACACTCAGCTATGATCTATTTGAAGATGCTTTTCTGTTTCCCTTCCTCACCTGTGACTCCTCCCATAGTGTTTGTAAAGAGAGTTATTATTTTATGTAGAAATTTTAGTTGCCCCTGCAGGATTGCATTTTATGTTTCAGACACTGCACAGATTTAACAACTTTTTGATTCTAATCCTGTCTTCCAGTGTAGCTGCAGACCTTGCCAGTTTGTTATTATCAGGAATTTTCATAAACATGCCACACACTAGAAAAGTATAAACTCCATTGTCCTCCAGTAAGCTGCTGATTTCTTTTGAGAGTGCAATCTTTCTCATAAACTAGTACTTGGAAACCTACTGTTACTTACATATTTGGGTCATTCACAGTTTAAAGTACAGTTTAGGCAATTTATGAGTGTCATTGGTTGCATTTTCTGTGTTCCATTGTCATCTTCAAAAGCAAGATTTGCTTTTTATATATTTTCTATCTTCCATGTGTTCTCAAATATTCTAGTAGGCTGTTCTTAAATTAGTTGCTGCTCTTCATGATACTCAGGTGAATACTGCTGTTACTAACTGAAACAGTGTAATATCTGTATTTTCATTAACAATGACAATAGATGCTCTAATCAATACCTTGGATATTACATTTTCATAGCTTTCCAAGCTTGTTAGTTATGTTTATCAAATATCTCTCCATCATCTTTCTGTTTCTCATTTACTTGGAGAACTTTCAGGCGTACCCAATCTTTTTTATTTGCTTTGTTTAAACCTTGGGGTTCTCCCCTCATGATTTTTAACTGTTATTGTGAACTCTATCTTTTTAAAGTCCTTTCATACAAACCCTTCAATATCTCTGCAAAATAATGTTTTCTTAATTAGAAGGTTAGAGCTTAAGGGTCTTTGTAGGTGTTTTCATCACCTGCCATGATCAGCACTTGCCAAGGACTATCTGGGCCGGTCCTGTATTAGGTAGCCCCCAAACTACTATTTACAGTCAGTCCTTTGCTTTGTATATGGATGACTCTACATGCTCTTTTTCCACTTGATTTCCCTGATTTTAAGGCACACAGCAGAACCTACAAATTCTGTCTCCCTCTTACTACTGCCTGGATTTATGACAGCTTACCTTCTACACTGCTGACCTCAGTCAGAACCAATGTTTATAAAGCACCCCCCTCTTCCCTTCCTCTCTTCGAAGCCCTTTCTGAAGGGGTTATGCACTTCCACTGCATTACTCCAGCCCAGCACAGAACCTCACCAAACCCCAAGGCCAATTCAGTCATGGGATGTACAAACAGCTTTTGTCAGTAAAACTTCCTCATCCCCAAAACCAGTGCCTTTGGCATGTTCAGACCTTAAAACCCCACAGGTCCTTTTATCTATCTCAAGGACCCAACAGTATGAGCATTCTTTGAGCACACCTGCTGGATTGGAGCCCTTATAAAATTTATTGAGAGGATGTGCAGTGTTGGTATATTCACAGGCCATTAGCTGGTCCAGACTGTGTACTTACCCATGACTCCACAGCTAAACGGTAGGAGCATTTACTCAGAAGAAAAAGGACTGAACTTTGAGGGGGGGCAAGGGAGCTGTGTTTGTAGAGCTTTATTAGTTGTTTGGGTGACATGTGCTGGTGGTTTTTTGTAGAGGTTGTTTGGTTTGGAGGGGTTTTTTTAATTGTTTTGTTACTTTCATTTTGGTTTTGGTTTAATTTTAGGTTTTTTTAATCTTCTGGCTAGATATATAAATATCATTCATGTTTGAAAAACTTCTACAGGAGCTATTTTCAAATTCCTGCTGCATAATACACTGTAATTCTAAAAGAAGTGATCTAATATCAAAGGTAAGAGGGAGGACACTGAACCAGAATCTCTTACAGTCTTGTTATAAATAAGGAGGTATTCTGGCATGTGTGTTTCCACACCACATATATAACTCAAATTTAAGTGATGCAAAACAGAATGCGTTACTGTTATACTGTGGTTTCTATTAGTATTTTCTCAGCCATTATTATTTTCAAAAATATTTGAGGTACCTCAGAACACAACTCAAACTTTACATTAGATGACTGAGTTAAATAATTACTTTCTGTCCAAAATCAAGCACAGAAACATAGGAAGTTACATTTTTTAAAAAAACAGTCTTTACAAATATTGATCTATACTAATCAATCCAGACCATAGTGCCTGCTTTTCCCCCATGCATGTATGTGTGGGGTGTCCATGAAAAAAGTTTCTCCTAGACTGTCAGAATTCTAGGTATTTTATATTGATTCTGCTTAATGCTAATGAAAATAAATAGTATCACTCTTAAAAAGAAAAAAAGCTCTTGCACATCTTTTACAGACATTTAAGCACAATAAGAAATTTAAATAAATGCTCTTGAGCCAAAAAGCCAATTACCTTCAGACTCCAACTACTGGTGCTTAGAAAAGCCTGGGGTGTGCACACATCTTCTTGAGACATGGTAGATAGAGGGGGACAACTTAACCCAGGCTGTCTGAGCTTAGGGGGTAATCAGGCTCCCCAAGCCCCCCAGGAAGAGCTTAATTGCAAACTAAACTGGAATCTAGACTGCTAAGAGGGTTGTTGGCCCTTTGTACTTCTCAGTGGTTTATCACTTTGAAGCTATGAAAATGCCTACAAAATCATGTGACCTGAGCAAGGAAAGCAGTAAGTTTTCCTCTTGCACTTGGGAACTTAAATAAAATTAAACAACAGAGCTTTCTGAGCACTCTTCACTACCAAAAGACCTCTCACAAGCCTCAGAGCTACCATAAACTATGGTACCACTGTACATACCAGCCACTTACAAGTTCTTGAATGGATAAGTGGTTGAAGTGAAGATGAGAATAAGCAGCCTCACAGAGCACTACACATCCAGAAAGAAGATCTGAAAACGGCTGGAAGGAACTTCAGACTCTTGCTGTCACAAATAACTGTATAATCACTTGTTCATTCATTATGCCCTACTGCATGATGAAGTTAGATTTCACTTACTCCTGGTAAAAGGCAATTCCAGAATCTGTTCTGACTTACAGCCTAAGTTTATTTATTTTTTTGATGACTCTTTTGATGCAAGGCCTGGCACCAACACAGAAACTTCCCAGACTCCAGTAAAGATTTTTGAAGCCATTTCTTCTCTGTTAACTTAACAGAGCAGCAGGAACCAAGATGTCTAGAAAGGGTCTGGAAAAGTCACAAATTTGTTTCTCTTGTGCAAGCAGCAGATAGCAGCTTACTGATGCTGGGAAAAGAAGCAATTAATTTAAAGGAGGATGACAGAAGAAACAAATGAGGAAGAAGGAAAATAAGAAAGTCTGATTTTGTTCAACAGAAAGGTGAGCTTTAGTTTTATCAAGAGAAAGGTTAGCTTGCCTATGTATGCGTTAGTGTTTCAAACTTATAATTGAGAAATACGTAATTGCACAACACAAGCTGGGTGCAACTCTTCAGCTGAAAATGAAAAAACTTCCTCCAAATGTAAATACTGCAACTGCTGAGTATGTGCAAGAGGAGGCTGAAGAGGAAAAGAAAATGTAAGATGTAAAGAAAAGAAAATGTAAGATGCAATTTATACCTATCCAGATAATATCTCTGCACTGGCCACACATCTAATTTATTTTGATAGTTAAATGTTTCTACTCAAGAACAGAGGGATCTCACAGCAAGAAAAACTCGGAGTATTTTTGGCTAGAAAGGATTTTTTATCTTCATTATTACTTAATTTATGGCTACAATGACCAGAAAGAAAACTCTTAGCTTAATTCATAGTTATGCTGAGGCTTTCTTACGGTATTGTGGTACGGACAGATGTTTTGCACCCCCTTTTTTTTTTTTTTTTTGGCTCTATGCTGACAAGAGGATGCTTTAATTTCCAGACAATCAAGCCTTTTTACAGGTCTTTCTTTCATCAAGTTTACATCCAGTAGTTCAACTCCAAATTCTTCTACTTGGAAGAAACTATATATTGCAAAGACTGGCTTCAGATCTTTTTCTTCAGAATTTTAAAATATGTTTCAATCAAAATCAGTAATATTTCATTACTCAAAATTTATGCACATTTTAACATTTTATATGTAAATCAGATAACCTAAAAAACCTACAGTAAACAGATTTTTAAAGTCACATGAGTGTACACATGCATATATTTCTAAAGGTATGCAAGATGACACCAAAATACCTGAAGATGGTTAATTTTTCACAGAATCACAGAACGACTGAGGTTCAAAAGTAACTCTGGAGGTCATCATGTCCAACTCCCCCTGCTCAAGCTGGGCCCAGTAGAGCAGGCTGCCCAGGACCTTGTCCAGATGTCTTTTGGAATCTCCAAGGATGGAGACTCTACAGCCTTCCTGGGCAACCAGTGCCAGCACTCGGTCACCCTTACAATATGCAAGTTTACTCTTATGTTCAGATGGAACCTCCAGTTTCTCTACAAAACTGTATTTTCTAGAGATCTATACAATCACAAACATTTAAACTGAAGTGTCACATGACAAACTGCTGGTTATCAGCTGCCAGCTGCAAATTCTGTAATTTTATATATCCACATACCTCTTCATGCTCTCCTGAAGAAACAGGATTATCCTCGTACGTGGGGAAATGACACCCTGCTTTACAACTGCAAAACCTGCCAGTCTCCTCACGTGGCTCCACTATTCTGCAGTTTACTTTAGAGCTCTCCACCACTCTCCCTTCTAGAGATTCTTTCATACTGCATTCTAAACAGGGATCTTGGTTTCCTACTGGCAACATCCCGGCCGACTCTTCTTGGGAATCCAATGATGTCTGTGCACTCTTCTCCATTCCAGACTTTTTTAATCTGGGAAGGAATTTTCCAGATTCAAGCTCCGATTTTCCATAATAATGCCCTTCTTTTTCTGCATCTTCTTCCAGAGGTTTGAGATCTGCCTGTGGATCCTCAAATACATCTACTTGAGGAGGGACAGCAATACCACCCTCATCTTTTTCTGACTCAAATTCTGACTCGCTTCCACCACCTGGAGAAAGTTCAGATGCAGAAATTGGGCGAAAGTGAGTCCTCGGAGAAATCCGTATAGCCCTGTACTGCGTTCGATCCACACCACATATCCTGGGGTGTAAAACCTCACTGTCTGAATCAGAGCACAGAATAGACTTAGGTTTAAAACTAGGGCTAAAAGATGCAATTCCTTCTGGCTCAAACGAACACTCTACATGAAGAACTTGTGAAAATGGATTGTTCAGGTCAAAGGAAGAGAATGAGTATTCAAGCCCTGGTTCTTCAACTTGAAAGTTACCACAAGCTCCCAGTAAGTCTTCATGGAAGATAAAAGAAAAACCCTTATTTAATCCGTTATCTCCGCTCTTTGATTGCTCGTTCTGTTCAAAAGATACAAATGGCCTCCACAATTGCCTGTGGCCAGGGGCAAAGCTATTACCTGGAGTCATAAAAACATCTGTACCAGCTATTGTCACCACATCAGAAGCTGCACATTGCAGCAAGCTCCCCTTTGAGTGACCAGGTGGCACCACTGCCCATTCTCCATCACTGTTAAATGTTTTGAGCTCCCCATATACACCACCAAGTATAAATGAGTTTTCTTTATCCTGGTTAACATCCCAGGGTTTTGATGGTGTAGTATAGTCACCACCATCTACTTTTGATAAATCATTTGAGACAAAGGCTCTCTTCTCTACATTCTCCTTTTGACCTTCCCAAAGGTGATACTCTGATCTTTGCACTGCTTTATTGGGTTCCTGAAGGGTTTCAACTTTTGCTTCTGTATCCAAACAGCAGCAATAGTTATTTACATCAGTTGAAAACAATTCATCTTCTATTCCTTCTATTTCTACCATCGCTGTAGAATTTCTGTCTGTCATATTTGTCCAAATATCTTTAATAACCCCTGAGCTGTAGCCATCTCCATGTGGACTGCTTTCCCTACACCCCTGTGTAGTTTCATAGTCTTTACTTTCTGCTTTTTGTTCTAGCTGAATACCACAGACAGATTCTAGCTTAGATTTCTTTTTGAAAATCAAAGTGGGCATTTCTCCTAAACTTCTAGCTTGTTGCTGGCAGGTTTCTTCTGGCAGAAAATCTAGAATTTCTTCATCTACATAATTCGAAGACACTCTAGGAACTACATAATTAATATCTTCTGCATTAAATTGCGTGGATTCTTCATACGGAATATTTATAGTCTCATTGTCTGAACGTGTTTCTTCCGAGTGTGACCATGGACTACAGGTTCTTGTTGAAAGGTTAGAACAGTGTTCATTTTCATCAAAGGCACTATTTTTGGTCCATATTAGCAATCTAGACTGTGTTTTCCCAAGAATATTAGCAGTGCTACTAGAATCTGCATTTTCATTTCCCAAGTTGAGTGTTTCAAAAGAAAATGGTAAAACAGAGTTACTGCATTGCACTTCAAACACTGAAAAACAAGAGTTTATACCAGACCCTTCATTAATATCTGAAAAGAGCTCTTGATTGCCAGCAAGCATGTGTGAATTAAGCATTGTGCTGTCTAGAATGGGGGAGAATCTGATTGGAGAATCTCCTCCAAAACTTTCCCCATCTGCATCACCAGAACTAGAAGATGAACAGCACTCCCAAAATTGAGCTAAATTACTAAGATCTTGCAAGAACCACCCTTCAGCACCAACAGAGCTGGTCGAATCAGTCCATATTGCACTTTCCCCTTGCAACTCCATTCCATCTAACACTATGCAACATTCTGCCTCAAAATCAGTTTTTTCTTTACTCTTCTGTCGAATCATATTTAAAATCCGACTCTCCCCTTGCATCGTATCTGAGGCACCAGGATCCAACATGGATTGATCAATATCCACTTCATAGAAGTGCGTTAGTTCTGACAGATGAACATCATCTAAATACTTGTCGTCCTCTGGTTGAGAACATATTGAGGTCCCAGCGAGGTCAATATCCTCATTTAGAACTGCAGGCATTTCTACAAAGTGACCATCGATGAAAGTACCTGCTGCGAGGTATGTTTTATGAGTATTATTGTTGCTAATACAAAGACCATGCACTGACTCAGACAACTCTTCTACAGCCTCTGATGTTACTCCACATATATCTTCTCTGTTGCGGTACGTAGTCTCCAGCTTGCTTTTTCTGCTAAGAGGAACGAAGTACTCCGTAATCGGCTCAGTATACCACAAGGGCTCTTCTTTATATTCCTTTTCATTTCTACTGTCTAAATACAAATCTTTTCCATCACTACCACCAGCTTCTTTTCTTCCAATTTCTTTTAATGGCCTTTTACCTCTTTTGCACAGTTGTTTGATGGACCCGCTGCTGCTGCTGCTGCTGCTTCCGCTGTGGACTTTTCTGTCAACCTTTTCACCAGATTTCACTGACAGCCTGCTCTGCCCATTACGCCCTTTTTTACTCCGAACCTCTCTTGTTTTGTGTCTTACTTTAATACATTTCATTGATGCCTTGTATTCACCTTGATTACCACTAGAACTCGAGCCAGCCTCACTGGATCCGGATGACCAGGAGCGAGGACGCATCTTTCCTTCAGACTTATGTCGGACTTGCTTTTTGTACAAAACAGGCTTCTCTTCAACAGTGTTGTTACTAAACTTGTTTTCTTTCTCGTTTTTACTCTTCTTCTGCTGGGTTCTTTCCTGTACAGTGGCAGATACTTTATTACTTCTGTCTTTAGTTACTTCACTTTCACTATTGCAGTCCTTTGGAGAAGATGTATCCGTGCTAGTTGGTGGAACAGTGGATGAAGATGAGGAGCTAGAGTAAGAGCATACTTTGGATTTATTCCATACAGTCATAATTTCCTGCAGGCAAACTGGCTTTTCAGAAAGAGGAGGAAATGCTTCATAGTACCTGAAAGCAAAACAGAAGGGACATTTGGATAGTAGAGCTTCAAATAAGCATTAAGATTAGAAAGAATTACTAAAAACACAGCATAACACTACTGGTCTAATTGCTAAAAATCTAGTTTCCACCACATATGCACATGCCACCTGTTGCACTATTTGAATGATATCAAAGGGAAAATTAAAAAGGAGCTTTAAAAATGCTTATGTTAATATATGTTTAGAAATATACTGCACACAAGTAAAACAATTTCCTTTTCAGAGACTACCAAACATCACTGTAGAGAGAAATTGTGGATGCTTACAACAGTGGCTCCAGGTTTTTCAGATATTGTGGCAGTTCACTACGGTCTTAAATGTTTGATTTAGATTATAAATGAGGAAGTCCTAAATTTCAGTTAGTTCAATCCTGAATTTCAGTTTTTAAAAATCTCATTTATGAAGACATTATCTGCTAAGCTCTACGTAGTTTGATCATCTTTCTACGTAGTTTGATCATCTTATTTAAGGAAAAAAACTTTTAAAAAAGATTACGTTTTGAGTAGATGCTTTTTAAGATGCTTAATAGCTTTATGCAAGAGGTACGAGATTAAAATATGGTTTTCTGTAACATCTATAGTAGTATGTGTTTGGTGGTAAAGAAATTTATACTGAATCACATATATTTCAATGAGAACTTATTAAAAATATTTAGAAGTCAGTTAAATGAAATGCATATTAGCACAATCAGTTCCCTGAAAATGGATGGATCATCCATTTAGTAACATTTTTACTAGGCTGTTGCTACTATTAAGAGACACAGAAGCAGCTGTAATTTCAAGAGGGGTCAATGACAAAACTGCTGGGTAGTTCAGTAACATTGGTCTCAGGAACTTGTTAACTAGATCACTTTGGTTATCAAGAGTTTAAAGATTGTAAGAGACTTTGTTTGCCATTTCAGCAATAGAAGAACAAGAGATCTGAATCCAGGAAACAGATTATTCCCTCCTTGCAAATCTACATGTCAATTAATGTTGTTTTAAATTTTTTGTCCGGTTGACTTAGTCTCTGAAATAAAGTATGGTTTGAGTTCTGTATATTGTCAAATGAAAGCAGTCTGGGCTTTGACAGAAATCAAATTAGTCCATGGTACCAAGTGCTTATATTTAAATACATAAGATTAACAAAAGGAGGTGGCATGAAAAGAAATTTATTTCTTAATATCCAGAAAATTTCAGATGCCCCACTAAGTTAACTTCACTGTGTTAAAATACGGGAATAAAAAGAGAAAAGCATCTCAGATAATAATAAGAAAAAAAATGCATACATTTCTACTTGATCCTTTGCTGTGGGAGATAAATCAGTCTCAGGAGTCAAAGAGCCTTCTAACTTTTTGTGAATCTTCTCTTCTGTTTTGGAAGAAAATTCCAAATGCTTAACAGAAAAATTCAAAAAACCCAGTGTACTTTATAACAGTATTTAACAAAAAGCACCAGGATGCATAACTGTAATAGTAGTAAAATTTCTATACAACACTGTAAATAACATTAAGAAATTATGAATTACCACTCAAGAGTCAAGCTTTCACAGTTGACCAGTCCTGGAAATCTGACCAAACATGACTGGCCAGCAGCTCCATGCAACCTCATAACAAGCAATGCCCCACTGGGAGAATTCCTGCTGAATCTTTAATTATTTCATATCCAAACCCTTATCTCAATCTTGCATTGTTACAGACACAGAAAATATTTCTTGAAAAAGTCAGCCACTTAACTAAATGTTTTTATCACTGGCCACATCTAACCTCTTATGTGTTTTACTAAAAGGAAATATCCTTGCAGTAACTGCTGAGTTTTGAGTGGATGTAAAGGCATACTTCCTGTGTGAGAGGTGACTCTGAAGATTTTCCAATTCTTCATATTAAAATCTTTAAAATAAAAATGAGACATACTATTTTTTTAATTTCTTTTTTTTTTCCAAAATAAATGCTCAGCATCACCTTTGGCTCAGGAAGAAATTCACACCACTACAAAATACTAAGAGCTGACTAATGATTACTGTTTGAAAACAAAAAAAAGGGAATGAAAACAGCTACAACCATGTTTTAAGCAGGTAATGTTTATCTCTTATTTACAGCTACTTATACTACATAATAAGCATATTAATTTTACTCTAAGTGTCCAAGGTTGCTGCTGTGTACCTGAACAAACATTCATGTAGGATGAACTTTTACTGGAAACAACACAACTTTACATTATGCTCCCTGCCTTAAGTTTGATATCATAAAGCGCCCATTATCATTCCCCTATAGCCCAGAAATTTTAAGTAGTGATGGTTATTTGGATGCTTTTCACACAAATAGTTTCCACATAATTATTTTGAGGCAAACCTGCTCTTTGGAAAAATCAATACACAAAAGGAATAGAATCAAGCCTATTTATTTTCATTCCTTTTGGTAGGGAGGGGGATGCTGAATTTGGAATATTTACTAAAAATGCAGACACAGCAGGATATGAATAGTTATAGCTTTTCATAAAGAAATCTCCATTTGTGACTGGCTATTCCTTAGGTAAATAAAGCAAGCCAATACAAAATTGCTTAAATTATTTGAATGAAATTATTCAAATGTATTTTAAAATCACATGGCCTGTACTAAAAGCTACTGAAATAACAGCCTACTTCCTCACACTCACCCCCACCTCAGAATGCTGCAGAGCTGATAAATATAATACATGGCCTCAGAAATTTAGACATTTTTTTCCTCACCTTGCTTACTCTGAAGGTCTTTCAGTTTGGAGCAAAGCTCCTCCACTAATGTTTCAATCCCAGAGCTCTGCACAACAAAACCACAGGGGAAAAAAAGAAAAAAAAAAGAAAACATAACTTACTAAAAAGAATTTTAATGTCATAAAAATATACCAATAAAATAAACATATCTCAGCAGACATACTTTTCTTTTTGCACAGTAACTACATACGAAAAATCAACAAAAAATTATTACTAGTATAAATCCAATTCTATAAATACATTAGTTAGAGGTCAAAATGATTCCAAGGAACACGAAGATACATTCACACAGAGGTTTCAAGCTACAGGTCACATTGTTGCATCATTGGATATCCCTAACTTTGCAAACACAAAATGCCACATTTACTGCATGGTATTGCTGCAGATTTAGCCAGGAGTCTCAGGATGGAAGTTCAATGACCCACTGATCACTAAGATGCATTTCAAAAAACTAGGCCTGATCCTTTTGGCTGCACAATTTATATCTGTGGGAAAAGGACTGTTAAAAGGATAAAGAAAATCAGGCATGAAGGTGGAAAGTAGAACAGTAGGAAGGAATACCTACATATGTGGCAGAGAGGGAGAGGAAATGCTTCCACAGTATCTATATGCAAAACCCATCCCAAAGTCTTGCCAATTTAAAATGACCAGGTATTTTTTTCTTTTTAAACATTGTGTTATTAACAACACAGGACAGCAGAGGATAAAAATAAACACCCTCTTCATATTCCTTATAAGCCCCTATTTTCCTCCTTCCTTCCTCTACATAAATACTGAAAATAAACATACACACAAAACAGTCCAATATATTACCCACAGAGGAAAACCCCATGTCATTCCAATGGAATAAAATTTGAGCTCCAGCCAGTGAAATACTAAACACCAACTTAGAGCCTGAAATGACCATTCCTGTTGCAAGGAAAACTAGGTGAGGTGAGTACTGTGTGGATATTTGTACTGTCATTATTTGATGCTCAGGAATTATGCTCGGGGATTGCACTTCACACTTTCCATAGCAGCAAACAGAGCTGGAATCACAGCTAAACACAACAATCTGGAATCACTGGGGAGGATACAAGAGGTCCCCTGCACATCACCCTACAGCTGGGAGTGGTAATGAGGGAGGACCATGCATCTTATTGTATGCATCCTGTACAGTTTCCTCAATATCAACTCCATCACTGTTGGAAGTCTAGTTCCAATTATACTTGGAGGAACTTACACAAAACCCCAAGAAACTTATCTCATCTTCTGAATTTAACATGATCATATTGTGCATATAGTTATGGGACGTGTTTTCTCTCCAAAGGTAATGCCGACCAAGTATCGAGTTACAGAAATACACAGAAAAGAGTTACACTTGCTGTGTCACCCTGGTGGTATAAAGATTTCATTTTTCCAAGATCTAAGAGTTTCTCATCTCTCCTGATTGCTGTCCAGAAATTGCTGAGAAATGTGAATATACGTTGGTAAAGGACAAGAAAGTATTATGAAAAAGAGAATATTAATTTATACAGTCAGACTAGTTTGTTTAATTCACTGCCAGAAAACCACCCTTGAAAAATCATACAATGAAACAATGATTTATATGCTAACTCCAAACTTTAATTATTTGCAGACAAATGAAAAAGCAATGTTCTATTCCTAACAGTATTGCTGCACTGAAGTGCTAAATATAAACCTTTATGCCACATACTTAACTGATGATGACTTAGCAATATCAAACTTCAGAAGGCATCTTCTGTATCAGTAAATTTACCAGTATAAATTAAATCATTTAGCAAGAACCAAGCAGGATAGTAATACAGACAAAGCTAGTTGTAATAATTTGTCACTTTATGCCTATATCACTTTTGACTCCCCCTTCCTCCCTCAAAAAGGTCAACAGAGGAGGAGCTGGCCTTGGTTTTCCTTAGCTCCCCCAACTGTCTAATCGAACAGACACCTGTAGCAAACACTCCAAGGAATACAGATTCACTGCCTTAATATAAAACCATGCTAAAAAAACACCCTAAACCAGCAACAAAATGCTTACCATTACACCGAAGAAGTGAAAACTTTTGGAATCAAACGTTCATTTCCTCCTGTACCATGAAATTAATACTTGAGTCAGCTGACGTGCCGCCCGCTGTCCTGCACAGCGCTGAAGGAGACAGCGCTGGCTTTAAAAAAAGGGGGGTGGGACCCACTGTGCAGAACGCCAGGACTCTGGAGACCCCCTGCTCAACTTCTTCCTGCAGCACATGAAAACGTGCTGCCGACTTAATGTAATGAATGCCATGGCAGTCATTTCATAAATGACACTGGTGGTCCTTGGAATATGAGATTTCGTTGGTTTTTTTTTATTGTTTACCTTAAGGTGTTGTAGCTGTAACAACCCAGAGTCTGAAAGTAAGAAGTTCCAGGCACTGGCTTGGTTCAATAGGGCACAGTTAGCTAACAAAACTAGGTGATCTGGTTGAAGTACTTTGCTTATGTTCAAATTTAAAGAAGTACTTTGCTTATGTTCAAATTTAAAGACTGTCCCCATACAGTAGAAATACTGGAGCACCTTATAAATATTTTGAAATATGCAAGTTTTAGAGCCCAATTATGACTGCTTATGTAATTCCATCATGAAAGGCTTAAATCTCAAAATTGTCTGGCCCAGATTTCTAACAACCTATTTTTCTCATTCAAATTACAAAGGACAGTGCATAATTTTTAATTCATATTTTTTTTTATTTTGCATAACAATATTTCCTGCACACCACACACATGTTTTACTGTTTTTTATATATTTCTCTTTCTTTCCCCTACTTTAACATATACCCAGTTTCACCAAAAGTTCTTTTTGGCTTTTTATCAGCTGGCTGCAGCAAGGGAAGGATTACATAAAGGATAGGTGTTGTGTTACTGGCATAGGAGTGACGGTGCTAACAGATAAATTAAGCTTCTGAACTCACCCAGCATGAACAAGAACAGTCAATCTGACTGCTGGAGTTACTGGACTCCAATAACCACTGTCTTCCTTACTGACCACCATGATCCTATGTGGAGCCTAATTAATGCAGTTCTGCATAATGAAGAATAAGACCAATTTAAAAAAAAAGAACCCCAAAACAAAACAAAAGCTCACACACTTTTTTATATGTATTTGTAAATATGTTTGGTAGTTTTCACTTCTTTTTGAGATTGGATATTTTTTTCCTAAACACACAAGCACATACATACATATATAATGTCAAATATTAAATCAAAGACCTTTTGAACACACTCTACTTTGGAAGTAGAGCAGCTAGAGATGACAAGTGGTAGCTCATTAGCTTAAAGCAGTCCAATTTCTTTCGTATGCACATTCACGCCTCTGTATAGCTGCATAAAATGTTCCAAGAAGATATTACATCTGTAAGTGTAGTTACTTCTGAAAAGTTTTTTATAAATTTAAAGTATTCAGTTACATTGTGAACCACGGAAAAATACCTGTATTATGTACACCAAACTGAAATTCACTAAAAACTGTTGCCTATGTAAACAGTGGGCACTGGCTTCTATGTTTTCAGTTTTGAGTAAGAATCTGTGAAACATTAGCTCCCCTCATATGCTTGACAAATCACTTTAATTCTTAACTGATATTCACCTCTGCTAGCAGGTTACTTCTGAATGTTGTAGACAAGCACAGTACAGTCAACAACCGGAAAATTTAAGAAGTTTTTCTTAAACTTCATCACAAACAGCACCACTATTATTTCACATAGCTATACTATGGAACTGAGAAGGGGATTGTTCAACAAAATTTTTAATTTTCACTGAGCTTTCACCTCTTCCCATCACCCAGTAATGATATCTGGTTATGAGTCTCATGTTTCCAACAAAAAAATGCCATGCAAACATATACTTTGTCCTGCAGGTCTCTACATATGCAATAGCTAAGCCTTCTGGACAAAACAAAGGAAAACAGAATTCTCATAGCCAGTACTTAGGAGGAGACTTTCCACATCTGACAGACCATGAATATAAACACAGAAACTGAAAAATTCCATCACAGACTGTACAACTCAAAGGGAAATTGTTTTAGGGAGATGTTGATTGCCTTTAGGTTTTTGGCAGGTTCAGGTTTTTTTTCTTCTAGTCTAACATGAATTGAAAGCTTCCTCCAGAAGCTTTGAACTGTGCAGTGTAAATATTTACTAAATATGGTTTGTTACTTCAGGCTTGTAAGGTATGGCGAAAGGTCCTTGCCCCTCTTCAATCTTTTTGAAAAGCAAAAGCACTACACTTCCTTTTACTTAAACAAGTAAAATAATCACTCATTTGCTACTAGGGTTTTGAGAGCTTTCTAGCTTACACTTTCAAAACAAATCTTCATTTCCCTTTCTGAAACATACAGAATTTGTTTAGGTTGGAAAGTACCTCTGGAGATCATCTAGTCCAAACCCCTGCTGAAACAGGATAAACTAGAGAACATTGAATTGACACTCCTTCCACAAGATACAAGTTCAAACAATCTAGAAATTAAAGTAAATCAATATATTCACAGTTTCAAATAATTGATTTCACAGGCTGCATTCTGACTGTACCAGGACTGTTTTCTCAGCATGTCTCCTGTCACCAAGTGCAGGATTAGATAGCTTTTCTATATGAATCAGCTGTTAAGCCACGTGAACTGAGTAAGGCACAAAATGTGATTCATTGCAACCACACATCTATTTCTATATTTTGTAGGATGATGAGAGAAAGTTAGAAGTCTAAGTTTTCATTTTTTAACATTCTGACACAGTATAATTCATCTGATTACAAGTACTCTCAAAAGAGGTGCTCAAGACAGACTGAAAAAAAGGACTAAAAAAAAAATCTTGGCCCAAGATCAGCACTATGAGAATGAATGAATAAATAAATCAATCCATTAAAACAGCAGCTTCCCTACAGTGTTCAACCCAGGTGGAGTTTAAAGGAATAAAATAAGGTTCCAGCTTGCATTATGGAATTTTCCTCCATTATAATAAGGTGAATGACACTAAGAAACACTTAAGAGTATCTTATACTTGTATAACCTTCTTGACCCTT